GGCAGGAGCTCCCGTTTGGTGCTGGGGAGGGGATGTGGGAAGGTGCAAGAGTCAGGATGTGGGGGGGCTGGGCATGTGTAGGAGTGCCAGAGTCAGGGCTGGGGTCGTGGGGGGGGGGGATGAAGGAGACAAGCAGAGGGCTGGGTGTGTATGAGGGGGGTACAGGGCTCAGGACAGGGTCCTGGGGTGTGTGCGGGGCATAGGGTTCAGGGCACAGGCCTGGGGGGTGTGCGGGGCTCAGGGCAGAGGGTTGGGCGTGTGTGGGGGGGGGGTTCAGGGCAGGGGGCTGGAGGGGATGTGCCCCTATTCCACCCCCCCTTCCCCAAGGTCCTGCCCCCGCTTCTTCTCTGCCTCTGCCGGGAGCAGCGAGCACACTGACTCTGCTCCTTCCCAACCCCCTCCCTCGCAAGGGCCATCAGCTGATCAGCCAGCAGGGACGGAGGGACGGAGAGGCAGGAACCCAGCACACTACAGGAAGAGGCAGGGGAGCCGGCAGGACCAAGCTTCTGCCCCCTGCCCCTTGTCCCCTGCCCCCGCGGGGGGGAGGGGGGCGTGCGGAGGGCGGAGAAGAGCGGGCCGGGCTGGGCAGGATTTTTAATGGCATGCTGCTGCCTGCTGGGACTCCGGCAGGCAGCAGCGTGCCATTAAAAATTGGCACGTGTGCCATAGGTTGCCAACCCCTGAGCTAGACCTTACGTGTGCTAGGATGGACTTTTAAAATAGGCATAACATCAACAGATTTCAGTGGTATTGAGCAAGTTACATACTTACTTGTGTCCTTGTATTATCTTTCCAGATAATTGCATTTCATGCATGGTCTGCAACCGACACTTCACCAGCTCTGTGGGACATAGCACCAAGGCAGCAAATGCAGAAGCAAAAGAGCCTGCAGCTGCATTCTGAAGATCACTGTAACAAAGAAACAACAGATGATACTTGGGCACTGCTCTTCAGTCACATGGTAGCCTACTGCAAGAGCACCCATCTATTTCCTGAAAGCTTTATCAAATAAAGAAAAACTGAACAGGAGTGCAAAAAAGGAAAAGCAATCATTTAAAAGAGGTGACCAACTTAACACCTAGCTCCAGCCATCTTCATATACAACTCAAATAAGTTCTTCTCCTTCAACAGCTATATAAATGTAAGTATACTATAATCTTTCCCATTTCTCTGACAAAAAAGCACAACCAATTAGATGAATCAAATAAAACCTGAAGTGAATTTTAGTAATTTCACATTCAAGACTGTATGGCTTCATTAACCCATGGTATCACAAGGCCACAGCTTCTTTACCAGTTTTTTTGCCAGTGCCTTTATAAAGATAACTGGCACCAAAATGTCCTTGTGATCAACAAAGGATCATGCGCTCAGAGAACATCTCCTGCTCTAACAATTGTAGCACATGCAGTGGAATGGACATGTGCAACACAGCTCAAAGAACAGTAGTCACGGAAAGGTGAGTAACTGTTTTTTTTTTGTTTAAAATTATGTCACTACAGAGCCTCAGACTTTGGTGTCGGCAAGTGGGAGTTCTGTGGTGGAGCAAAATGAGCAGGATGATCTAAGGCACTCTTCCCTCCTTCCAGAGTTTGGATGACATGGCAGAGAAATTGGGTACAATGTAAAGACCATGGCTGAGCTGCTCTGCTGAGCCTCTAATGGGGTGCAGTACAGAACTCACAGACAGGGTGTGGGCATGGGGGATAGACTTGGGATGGCTTTCAGCCACCTTTGTGCCCCCCCCAATCTTGGGATGCTCCCAGAGCTGGAGAATCCCCTGGAGTAACACAATCCCAGATTCCCAGCGGCCTGTAAATTACAGCAACCTCCACAGGCTCTCTTGTCCCCAACATGCTCCCACACAAGGGCTTGCGATGGGGTCCTCTGAAGGCAATCTTACAACTGTCTTCCACAATCCCTGCACTGGGAGAAATCCTCCTGTCATTACAACTGTTGGATCTGGGGCCCTTTTATGCCGCTCTGGTCCTTTTACCTGGCATGAAGGTGCTGGAGTAGGGGTTTATGACCTCTTGTTTTCTGTGCATTACTGCAAGGATTTTATTTTTATCTTTAAAAATAGCAAAATCCTCACACATTCTTTAGAAATCTGAAAGTTCCATGTTTTCCCTGACACCAAATCCATCTGTCTCATGATGAAAAATTGTAATTTTGAAGCTATTTAAAAGGCTGGGACCTCTGTTCATTATATTTGGGATCTTCACAAATACATTTAAGCACTGTGAAAGCCAGTGTTTTCATAATTTAGCTCATCTATGGCTTTTATTAGACACTCCATGAGCCTGTTGACTGAACACAACCGGAGCATTGGTTACTTTGTACTCTAACCAGGAATGGAAAAACATTTGATCCTAGGAAAGTGGAAGAGAGAGTATAATTTGACTATATTAATGTTGCTCTTATCTAGTGTATCTTAAATTATGTAGTAAGTGTCAGAGTGCTGCCTAAGCAGAATTTTTCTGTTTTCTAAATATGCACTGATGCAGTTTTTCCTGAATCTATGAAAAGAGCAGAAGTGCCTTAGGGCTAGTACTGAGCATTTTTAACATGCTACAAACATGTCTTTAAAACCAACAATGCTAGATTCAAGTGTATTTAAGTAGTATTTATCATTTCATTTATTGTTAAGCTGGGAGTATATGGCGGAATTGAGAATTATTTAAGGAAGCAAGTTCACTGCAAAAGTTGAGCCAAAACTCTGTTTTCTGTTTAAATTCACTTCAATGAGAGATTTTTCTGGCTTTGGAGTACAGTGACTTAACCCCTAGTATCTTGATTTGGATACCACAGTCAGCCTATAGAATGAAAGGCTTCCAATTTTATCAGGGAATTTTAAATTTTAGCTTCCTTTGTACCTCTGTATTATGAGAGTCTTTAATTACATGCTATTTTTTCCCCAGAGGTTTCCTGCCTCATTCAATGCACAGGATCACCCTGTTTTGGAGATGACTCCGGGCTGTCAAGTGACGGAGGCTATTTGATGTAGGACCCCTACTTCATTTGTTGCAGAAGTAGGAAGGTGTGTGGTTAATGAGCCAGGACATTGCAAGAAGAGAATGGATGGTCTCATGGTTAAGGCAGTTCAATATGACTCTGGAGAACTGGCTTCTATCCTTGGCTTTGTCACGGAGTTTGTATGTGTGATGCTGGGCAAGACACTTAAGTGGTCACTAGTTGTGTTCTCCTCATTTTCTGGGTCTGACCCAAGACCCTGGGGTCTGATTTCTAGAAGTGCTGAGCACTCTCAGCTGCAACAGAGGTCAAGAGGAGCTGAGCTCTGAATATTATAATGCTAGATACTTTGAAAAAAAAATCACATCCTAGGTGATTCAAATTGGGCACCCAAAACTAGATGATACATTTGATCATACCTCTGTGCCTCAGCTCCCCACCAGTGACATGAGGATACTACTACCCTCTTGCCACACAGGGGTGTTGTGAAGATTAATTAAATAGTATGTCATAGAATATCAGGGTTGGAAGGGACCTCAGGAGGTCATTTAGTCCAACCCCCTGCTCAAAGCAGGACCAATTCCCAACTAAATCATCCCAGCCAGGGCTTTGTCAAGCTGGGCCTTAAAAACCTCCAAAGAAGGAGACTCCACCACCTCCCTAGGTAACGCATTCCAGTGCTTCACCACCCTCCTAGGGAAAAAGTTTTTCCTAATATCCAACCTAGACCTCCCCCACTGCAACTTGAGACCATTGCTCCTTGTTCTGTCATCTGCTACCATTGAGAACAGTCTAGATCCATCCTCTTTGGAACCCCCTTTCAGGTAGTTGAAAGCAAATCCCCCCTCATTCTTCTCTTCTGGAGACTAAACAATCCCAGTTCCCTCAGCCTCTCCTCATAAGTCATGTGCTCCAGACCCCTAATCATTTTTGTTGCCCTCCGCTGGACTCTTTCCAATTTTTCCACAAAATGTGAGTGCTTTGATAACATTTTGGGGAGAGGACAATAGAAATGTCCGTGAGAACCTTCTGTCTTCAGAACAGAGTTTGAGTAGATGCAATAAATAAGGCAGGGGGCCATACATTGAACAGTGAGGATAAAACAAAATAATTAATAGCTGCTCATTCTGTGAGCATCATGCTTCCTGTGCACTGAATAAGGCAGGCATCCTAGGGGGCTGGTTAGTATGTAATTAGAGACTGTACCTCTGCTTTATGGTTCACAGGACCCAAATTAAGTCTGCACAGGCAACTTAAGTTTAGCAATTCCTAATTTTTGCATGATTGACTTTCTTTACATATCCAGTGTGGCTTTTACTATGGAAACCATAACTCAGTTTTCTGACTCTTGTGTAACTTCACCCTTGAAAAGATACCACATTAGGGTTTTTATGTCTCTTGCAAGGCAAAGGTGATTTAATGGTCATAGCAGAAGAGTAGGAATCAGTAGATCTTTCTAGTGTTGGCTCTGCCACAGACTTCCTGCAGCAAGGGACTAGTAACTTCATCTCAGTTTTGTTATCTCAGAACAGGGACAATGCCTACCTCACACAGATGTTGCAAAGCTTAACGCATTAGTGTTTGGAAAGTGATCTGAGATCTTCAAAAGGGAGATGCTACAAGTCTGAAATAATGCGAAGTTATGCATTATATCACTGTCAATAGCGAGGGCTAGCACAGCTCTAGCTATATTGAGGCAAAAACACCTAATGCAGAGAAGTCCTCCTTAGTATATTTTACTAGCTACATACATAGGAATCAGAGGCAATGAACCCAGTGTACAGGACCTTTCAATTAATGTTTCAGGTATTGTACACAGTATATTAGGAAAGTTCAAGAAACAAATACATTGTATTTACATACATGTGCAAACATAAGGCACACCTGGAGGAAGAGAGAGTCTATTTTCTGTAAGTTAGGGTAGCAAACATGAAATTGGGAGCATGTGTGTCTAACTTTCAGCCTGCAGTTAATCATTCTTTAGTTTAAATCAAATATATATTTTAGGATCATAATTTAGCAAACATTTATCACTGAGGGAATTTGACACCTAGGTACTATGCTGATGGGGACATAGGAATACTTAAGACTAAAAATCGTTATCCCCTTCCATTCCTAACAAACTCCAAACAGACCTCTTTAGCACATGTATTTTCAACTGGAAAACACATTTTTCCTCTTGTTGCTGTGATATCCACACTATAACCATGTCTCAAAGCTAAACAGTGCTAATCTAGCCACACAGGCTAGATAAGCCCCATCACTTCATGTAAATTAAAGTGCATCTGTGTGTAAAAACTACTTTTAAAAATTAACTTAAATTAGAAGCATAGAAGTTTATTTTGGGAAACTCAGACCACAAAATACCTGTCTAGGAGGGTATATAAACCTGATCAGAGGGTAAGAAAGCACAAGTTAACCTCAGTTCGTTACTCTTCATGTTTCCTTCTTCAGTCCAAGAGAGAATGAGATGATTATGACTGCTGGAACACTAAAGTGGACAGCCTCTTGAATTGTACATCTGGGGACAGAGTAAACTTGGTTGATGGCCCTCAAGTCTGGAATTCAATCCCTTCACATTGATCCAACAGAAAATTTGCTGATCTGCAGGGCATGCTGCAAGGCCTCTGTTTAACCAGGCTTTTTCCAAGGGGCTGTCTAATGGAGTTTGTTTGGCAAGGCAGAGGTGTGCATTATTTGGATTACATTAGTTAACGTCGTCTTTAACAATGTATTATGATTGGGCTGTAAATGCAACTAGATAGTAGTAATAGGGGCATCTTATAAATGTAAAAAAAAGAGCAAAATTCAAGGAGATGTCTGGCTGGTGAGAGTTTGAACCTGTACAAGTTTTTGTTATCACTGTACTGCTCAGTACTAAAATCTCACTTTTTTTTTTTTTTTTTTTTGAGGGGTAAAAACAGCCACAACCAGTAAAGTTAATAGTACCATTCTGTATTTAGTACAACACCCCAGGGAATAAAAGCTGATTGATAAATGCACTTTGATGTTGGAGGCACTTGGCTTTGGTATCATTATGTGCTCTAGTCACCTGTCCCATCAGATATTACATATTCATCTATTCTACAACTAACTCATAATTTCTTCATAGTTAGTGTGTTCTCTTTAGTGATTTCAAAATCCAATCTGACTAGTTATATACTAAACTGATGCCGACTATCACCAAGAGAAAACTGACCTGGTGTTCAGAGGAGATGAGATATGGGGCAAGACTAGAATATTTAAATACACTACATCAGTAGGGGCTAAAAAGAAGTAAGTTTCCTTCACCTTCTCATTCTGGTAATTGTACGTATATACAGATGGAATGCAGCTCATAAAATTTGTCTTTAACTGCCTGAAGCTAAGCATGTTCTCATATCCTTAAACCAAAGTTTGATCCACAAGTGTCTGGGTTCATTTCCTAAAACCTGACAGGAAAGAAAGGTACCATTTACCCACACACTGATTTTTCATGTTTTACTTTCAATAACTTGTAAGTATTAAAGGGGAGACAGTTTTCAGAATCACAACCAAGAGCTCCCCCCGCCTCTTTTTGATGGCAAATTAGTGAAGCCGGAACACTGAGTTACAGCGAATAAGTGAATGCTATTCAGCATAATCATTGCTCTGGAGGGAAGGATAGTTGGGACAGTGCTAAGTCATCTCACAAACCACCCAAACCATCATTGATATCCATCCATGGAGCAGTGCACGGACGATGAAGATGCAGCCTCTCTTAGTGATGCATGAGTTACAGCCGCCAATGCTCCAGTAGTTTCAGCCCCTTTCCTTCACAAATACTACAGCATGGGATTTAAGAAAGATGCTTACGGAATTCTCTTCTCCCTCCCAAAACATTTGAAAGAACCAACACATTTCCCACAATCTGGGTTTTTTGGCAATGGACACTACCCCATACAGACCAGCCATCTGTTCTTACGAAAAATATACCACAATTGCTGAGACAAGGTCTTGTGTAATAAAGTTAGCACTTGCACAGTGACAAAATGGTACCCCGTATAATGGCAAAGAGACTGCACTTCATTTTAAAATACAGCACATTTGTATTTACTCGTGACTGCTAGTTGTACAATATTCTGGAGATTACAATTTCTGTTACTAACCTCAGTTTTGCTTTCCTGTCTAATCCAACAACTCCCCTCACAATCTGCTGGCAAAACCCATAGCACATGAACAGGACTGAGTTTTCTGCTATGTTGGCTACAAGTGCTGGAGTGGTCCCTTTATAGAAGCCTCGCAATCCAACTTGTTTATATGTCTTCACAATACATTCAATGAGTCCTTTATACATGCTGGGAAATGTCTGCATCTTCACCTTAGCTGTATCAAAGGGCTGGCCGGTTAGCACACATGCAGTCCCACCTGAGGAAATAGAGTATCAACATTCAACAGCCCCTTACTGATCATGTGAGAGAATATGCAACATAATGAAGAAAGCTTGTTTTGTGGGAAACAAAAAACATGCAATATGCAGAGAGGGACAAATTCACCACTGGCATAATTAGGCCCAACTCAATCAACTTTGGTGACACCAATGACATTGGCTCTTGCAACATTTTTTTTTTTAAGTTACAGAAGTACCAAATGAAAAAAGATCAATGCTTGATTTAGAACATTTAGACACTCGTTCATAACACAAGGCCATCAATTCATATATTGAATAGATGGTGAAATAAGAGTTACCAGTGGAATTAACATTCTGTGTGTGTTAGGCAGTCACCTCATCAGATGAAGGATGAGTAGATCTGAATGATGTGAAGAGATTGTACAAGAAACTAAAGAAGCTGAATGTGTGAATCCAGCACCTTTAGTTGTTTTTGAGGCAGGGAGAAGGTACATTTTGTTCTGAAGGGGTGATTCTCATCAGTACCCAAACTCTGAGTGGAGCCAGTTTGTATTATACTGCTGCTGCTCCTCCTGTGTCACAGGGTGAGCCAGAGGAACTCCAATCTGAGCTCTCACACTGCTTCATTTTCCTCCCAGGTCAGGTGATTGCAGGCTACAGAGCTAACCAGGCTTGGAAGCAGGATATGACACTTCCTGCACTCACTAGGGGAGGGATTAACTAAGGACAGCAAAAGCTGGCTGGGGCAGATGTGGCTCCCTGTTGAGAGAGCTGGGGCAGGTGCCTGTGATGGGCTCTGTTGAAGCCCCCTGAAGCAGTCTAGGGTGAGGGTGGGGAAAGAGCAGTGAAGAGTCTGGAGAGAAACCGGGGGTGGCTCCTCATTGAGAGGGAGCCAGGAATGTTGTCTGGAAGTAGCTTGGCTGATGACTGCTGGAAGAGGCCAGAGAGAAGGCTTCCCTGGAGAGAAGTGAATATAGGAAATGGCATTAGGAATCTGAAGCCGAGGAACTGTGAGTTGAGAATGGATGGCTGGTACAGGGTCCCAGGGCTAGAGCCCAGAGTTGGAGGTGGTGTAGGAACTCCTGTGACCAAGGGGCAATGAATTTGTGAGCCCTCAGATAAGGGGCAGAGGCCCAAGTTAATTCCCTCTTGAGCAAGGGCTGAAAGACTTTAGAAAACCCTTGCCAACTAATGGCAACTAGGAAAACCCTGCTTACCAACAGGAAAGACCTAGACGCCAAGGATAGCTTGGGCCCTGGTATAAGGGGAGAAGAAGTCCTATTCAACCAAGGAGAAGGACTTGTGTGTCACACACCTCCTCCTACACAGGACCGTGGCCTACTGAAGGTAAAAGTACTTTTTTACTTTTGTTTAGAATTTATTTACCCCAGAAGAAAAGGACTCGTTTTGGCCAGAGGGCCAAGTTACCCCAGCAGCCAAGCAAGACATCTCCAGAGAGAAATCTGAAGCATGGCCACACACTTAACAAGGGACTGGATAATTGGATCCCTACAACATCTTCTGTTAATTGGTTTGCTAGCCTAGTACACTGTAAAGTCAGCTTCTGTTGAATGGCAGAGATCCAGCTGAGCACAGCAGGAACCACCATAAAACAAGAGGAGTACTTGTGGCACCTTAGAGACTAACAAATTTATTAGAGCATAAGCTTTCGTGGGCTACAACCCACTTCTTCGGATGCATATAGAGTGAAACATATATTGAGGATATATATATATACACACTTATATATACACACACATATATACACACACACAGAGCATGAATAGGTGGGAGTTGTCTTACTTAATTGGCCTCTCAGAGTTGGTAAGACAACTCCCACCTGTTCATGCTCTCTGTATGTGTGTGTGTGTGTGTGTGTATATATATATATATCCTCAATATATGTTTCACTCTATATGCATCCGAAGAAGTGGGTTGTAGCCCACGAAAGCTTATGATCAAATAAATTTGTTAGTCTCTAAGGTGCCACAAGTACTCCTGTTCGTTTTTACAGATACAGACTAACACGGCTGCTACTCTGAAACCTGTCATAAAACAAGAGCGAGGCATACATAGTGAGCTTGCAGCAAGAGGGAGAAAACAAAGGAGATCTTTAAAAACGCTAGAAGATGAGGAAGGAAAGGAAGATTAACAGCAGCCTATTAGAACAAAGGAGGAGGATTATAAAGCTAATCAAGTAAGCAAAGCAAGAGCAATCTCTTTATAAAGGATTTTAAGTATCAAAGTGATTGAGAAGTTTAAAGGCTTTCGCTTCTTCATCCTGTTTGAAGTTAATATTTGAGTTGCAACCAAAAGAGGAAACTGAGCAAAGAACTATAATCTACCTTTAAACCTGCTTACCTGTTTACTGACAGAAAACAGGCAGATTTCCCTGAATAGTGGATGTAATTTGGGGGGGAGGAGGAGAGGAAGGGGAGATGGGGGAGAAATGCCATCAGCTTTGGCACATCTCTTTAAATGAAAGCTAGGTTTCCTAGCCCTCATGAAAGCCAAGATGGCACTGTATTAGCTTTCATTCACAAAGTTATCTTCCCAAGTCTGAAGACTGACTGCTCTGATGCTGACTAGAGGTGTTAGTTTTTGCGCTGCTGCTGTTTCGACCCTGTGAGCATCAGTGAAGCGGACCAAAAAAAACAAACAAAACAAGTGATTTCACTGTACTATTGTTTGGGACAGCAGCAGATCTTGCTTGTGAATCGCTACAACAAGGACCCAAAAGCAAGGTAGAAGAAATAGCAGAAATAGGCTGCTCTAGGATGGGGATGAGATAACAGGGGAAATAAATAGAAGGCTCCCTCTCAGCCAAAATGGGCCTTTGTGTGGAAACTGTCACATTTGTCACATACCGAATAGCCACAGGCCAATATAAAACAAGTATACCTGGGCAGAGTCAAGGGACAGTAGCCTGGTAGAAACTCCAGCAACCTTCTTATAGAGGTGTTATCCCTGGATAATGGCAGCTGCACCCCCTCTTCTCTCCACATGCTATCACCTTTCATACTGACCTCTGGATTTAGACCCTGGATCACAGGTGTCTTGTAACATTTGAGTCATGGCTAATACTCTTGGATCCATGGCACAAATACAGGGAACATTCCTCGAATACTGACTCTGTATCTGCACAGCACCTAAACAGCCCACGGTGGGCCCATGCCAGCCGACTTGGACTGTGGGGCTGTTTAATTACTGTGTAGACTTCTGGGCTCAGGCTGGAGCTCAAGGCTAGCCGGGTTTTTTTCTTTGCTGTGTAGACATACCCTGAAGTAGCTGTATTATAATATGCAAGAGATGTGATTAGATGGCTAATGTGATGAATTTGTTGTTAGTAGAGCACCAGCAGCAGTGTTAGGCACTGTACATAGATATGTATTTTCCATCCTCTTTGTAGAACAACTTAAAGTTAATTTATTTCTCCTTACGTTTCATCCTTACCAACCATATTTTAGGTGATATGAGAAACTGATATTTTCATTGGTGGCTAAGTGGAAGAACAACTTGAGTGAACTGCTGACCTTATGTTACATTATTCAGAATACCATAATGTTTCCTCATCTTCCAAAGAGACTTTCTGAATGTTGATTAAAGAGATAACCCTTTAGATAGCTTTCTGCCCCTTTCAATTAGAGAGAGTTTCTAGGACTGAAGCATTATCTCAATCACTTTGCTTGAACATGGTGTTTGCCTTTATTGCAAAACTTTACTTGTGACTGACATTTTGAAACTCATGTGAGCATGAAAATACACATTAGATGTACTCAGACCTACTCTTAGAAAATCATTAGTCTGAAAGAAGTTACATATTTACTTGTTGGCATTGGTTTCAGTGGAGTGATATTAACCTATCAGATGTTTGCAACACTGGGCTAGGTCAGTTAGTTCCCTCCTTCATCTCAACATTTTTCTTCAAATGTGGAAGATGTGCCTCTTGTACAGATTTTCAATTATTAACAGTGCCAATATGACAAATCACCATCATTGCTAAATGACTGCTGATTGCTAAATCAGATTAATGTCTTTACACTTGTGAGGAGACTTACTTTAAGAGCACAAGCTTGTTTGTATCAGATTCTATTTTCAAAGTTTCTGAGAGTTCTCTCCAGTATTACCTGCTGCACCTGCTGTGAGGTCGATGGCAGCTTGAATGGCGGGATTTGTCCTCATGTTTCACGCTTGCTTATTGGTTGCTATGGAATAAGAAATCTCCAATGACAGGTAAGGTGTCGTGATATGTATGCCTAACATGGAAAAGAAAAAAACATTAGAACTACAGTTAACCTGCATATTTCAGCTAAACTACTTTCTGCAGACCACCCATTATGCCCATATAGCCATTCTATTCATCTTCTCTTAAATCAAGAGT